GGCTTAGGGTTCGGGGCTTAGGGCTTAAGGGTTCAGGGTTTTGGGGTTTAGGGTTTGGGGCTTTAGGGTTTAGAGTTTAGGGTTTCAGGTTTAGGGCTTAGGGTTTAAGGGTTTAAGGGTTCAGGGCTTAGGGTTGGGACTTAGCAATTCGCAGGTAGGCTGCAATGAAGCAAGGCTTGCTCTCCCAATCCCTCCATCCCTTCTCCTCCATCCCCTGCTTGAAACCTGCTATACTGAATCCCCCAAGCCACCTCGACCTTAATGTAGAGGCCTAAATGATTAGACTCAAAAAGTTGTTGAGTTTCAGGGGAATTTCAAGGGTACTACACATTATTTAGGAGGCCTAGTAAGTAATATCGGATTAAAGAGAGTCTTTGCCAGAGAGCCCCCTTTCTCTCTGGAGATTCCGAACCTTCCCAGGGACATACCTAGGAGTCAGAAGGCTTTAAGTTAAATGGCATAAAGCCTCCCATGCTTCAGCACTGAATCAGGTCTTTACGTTGCAACATCCGGTAAAACCTTTAAACTCACCTTTGTGGACCACATGTACCCTTATGGCTCCATAAATCCTAAACCCTAAACCCTCATTCAAAATACCCTTGTAGCACCCTTCATAACCCTAGACCGTAAAACCCCGAACCCCCAAAACTTAAACCCTAAACACCCAACCCTCAAAACTTACCGAAACCCTGAAAGCACCACCATTGCCGCAAACCCAAAGCCTAAACCCTGCGCCCGTATAAAACCCTTATACTAAACCCTAAACCCTAAAACCCTAAACCCTAAAGTACGGTTGATGAGATAAATCCTGCATAACCCAAAATAAGGAATATACCATACTTCCCATAGGTTAGGGTCCTTACGGTACTGCAGGATTTATATCATCAACAGTAGCACCACCATTCCCCGAGGCCCCCGAGAAAGACCCACCTCCGAAATCCCAACGCGGCGCCGTAAGCTCTCGGCGTCCTCGAAGAAGGCCTGGGGTTTAGGGCTTCAGGGCTTTCGGGGTTTAGGGGTTTAGGGCTTTAGGGTTTTAGTTTAAGGATAGTTTCGGGTTTAAAGGGCTTTAGGGTTTATAGGGCCTTAGGGTCGGGGTTTAGGGTTTAGTTTAGGATAGTTTCGGGTTTAGGGGTTTTCAGGTTTGGGGGCTTAGAGTTAAGGGCTTTAAAGGGTTCATATTTGTTTAGGGTTTGAGGGGTTGGCCAGGGGGTTTAGGGGTTTAGGGCTTTCAGGGTTTAGGGGCTTAGCCCTAAACCCTCAAACCCTAAACCCTAAACCCTGAAACCCTTAAACCCTGAGACCCTTAAACCCTAAGCTCCTGAAACCGTTAATAACGGTTTCAGGAGCTTAGGGTTCCGGGTCTCAGGGTTTCCGGTTTTAGAGTCGGAAAGGATGAAGGACGTGCTCCGTTAAGGCCTCAATACTATTATGGGTTTCACAAGAGTTCAAAGAAGGGCTTAGGGTTCGGGGTTGAGGATTTAGGGTTCGGATGTGGGGCTTATACGTCGGAACTGGGATTTAAGGTTCAAGGGTTGGGGGGGTTTAGGATGTAAGGTTTAGGCGTATAGGGCTCAAGTAAGATGTCGGGTTCAAGGGAGACGGAGACTCTACGAAACGTCACTTCCTGCTGACTATTGCAGGTTTAGGGTTTAGGGGCAAGCCCGTCACTTCCGCATTTCACACCCCCGCACTGAAAGGGGGCTCGTGAATGTCGCAAACATACCCAAGCTTTGCCAGACATTGCCCCAAAGAACCTGGAAAAAACGCATCTAAGATTAAGATATAGGACGAAATCTTGGGGACTCAACACAAATCCCAAACCCTAAACCCCAAACCCTAATTGCTAGTTTTTGCAGTTCAGGCTTTGAGCCACGACTCCTGGAGCTGAACAGCCAAAACAAGCCCTCCCCCATAGATCCTTTAAAGGACGTCCTATAGATTCATAGATCCTTTTAGAGGAACCACACAGTTCTTCCTGGCGCTTGGGCCCCTGGCTCAAGTCCCGAAAGAACCCAAATCCCTGTAGACATCCAACAACGATGCCGGACGCGAAGTTTTGAAACCGCTCGCCCAAAAAGTAATCATGGTAGACAGAAGTAGCCACAATGATAGCAGTCATGGCCGTAACAGCAATAAGACTTATAATCGTACTAATAGTAATGATGATAATAATAGAAATAATGATCGTAATAGTAAATAAGCATGTTCCTATGCTGTTGATGATATAAGTCCTGCATTACCTTAAGGACCCTAAACTATCGGAAATATGGTATATTCCTTATTATGGGTAATGCAGGACTTATATCATCAACCGTAATAGCCGTAAATCCACGGCCATGGCCTCGTTGTACCTGGCGACATCCCAGCGACAGGCCCGCAGCAGACAAAGGGCCTCGTCTTCCTCCACGCCTTGAAACTGGGCTCTGGTTAAGGGGTTTTACTTCAGTTGCCATAATGAGGATCTATGGTAAATAATATGGTTTCTTGATTATGCTGGCTTAAAAAAATCCCCTAGTAACAAGAACCCAGGAAACGGCTGCGTGCGGTTTGGGATTGTGGGTTTAGGGAGTCTCGGTTCCCCAGTAGCCCCTAACTGGGTTCTTGTTAAGGGATTCAATCTAAGCTACCATCCCTAGTACAGTAACTTAAGTTAAATCCCTTAACAAGAATCCCGCTGAATGATAAGGGTACCCTTTTTGCCTGCTCTTTGGGCTTATGAAGGGAACCTCGAAAAGAAAAAGGGCAAAAGGGTACTACTGGGGAACCTAGGAGTTTAGGGATCTATCAGGAAGCCCACCTGTGCCCTGCAACGGGTGTGGCATTGCAGTAACTTATGCCAGCGCAGATAGGTACTTCTCTAAATTAGGGTCCATTTTAGGGTCCTTTTGTAAGGGTGCCGTACTATATTGGGGACCCAAGAAGGGACCCTAATTTAGTGCACTGCCCAGATACCTAAACAGCGACAGAGCACCACGACGACCATGCCAGCCACGACGCCCAGAGACCACGGGGGACCGCCAGGAGGCCATCAACATCCCCACAAGACCACCAGGACACCGCCGAAACTGCTAATGCAAGGGCCTTATTAAATAGAACAGGGGTTTTGGTGTATAGTATACTACAACTATAATGAGGAACCCCCCCAAAATAGTATAGGTAATTATTCAGGCTCCTATATTATCCTCCAAGTACTGGCGAATTCAGGACCCAGGACCACGGCCGAAATGCTATCTCCCAGCTACTGGAGGGATTCAAGAGGCTTGCGGAGCACATCCAAATTGGTTTCCATCAAGTACTGGTGCGATTTAGGAGAACGGCGCTTGTAGCTTCCCAGAGAACGCGATACCCCTTAATGAGGGAATATACCTTGAATCATAATATTAAGGCCCCTATAATTTAAGGCTATATTCCTTAATTAAGGGGTATTGGGTTCTCTGGGTGTGCTTCCCCGGAAGCCAAGAAGAGGCGCAACATGCTTTCTCCAGAGTACTGGTGCGAAAGGTGATCCATGATTTTGCACGTGGCATCGCGAACCAATACTCCGTAATTAGTCACATTAGTCCGAATGTTAGAACCCCATAAAGTGTGGACCACATTGTCTGGGAAGGAGTAGAGGGTACCTGAGGCGATATTTGAGGGGACTTAGACTTAAGCCGCACGTGACCCGGAACCCGCCTGTGCATTCCACAGCTTCGCACACAAGGCGTTGCTGCTCCTCGTTTGGCGTCGTGGGCGGGGCTCTGTTCCGGGTTTAGGGTGGAGAGCCTTTTGAGCCTGCCTGCCCACCTAAGCCCTAAACCCTAAACCGCGTTTATTGCATTTAAAACCTCGAAACCCCCAAGCAAGCCCTAGCCTTGGCCTTTCTGGTGAAGGAGTGTAGCAGTGCGTAGGGGTTGAAGCTTAGGGCTTAGGGTTTTTTGAGGTTTAGGCTTGAGAGTCTTTTTCAGATAGGTGGCTTAAGGATTTCAGATGATCTTGAACATGTTGACCTGACCAGTCCGTCTCTGTAGCATGCGGGCATGGCATAGGATGCTTACGATCACAGGGCTTCACGACGTGTTTTTTGATAGTGAATTCAAGCCAACTCGATTGAACAAAACTGCGCTACTTCTCTGCACAGGCACAATATCATAATATGCCGGACTCCGAAAGAGTTGGTCTATGTGACTTTGATTTCTAGACGTCTCGCAGGATTCCCTACGGGACTATACAAGGTCGAGCGAAAGCCCTGTCGCGAGCAGGTTATTTTCTCCGGATGGGGGAAAACATTGACGACATGAAATATCTATTGCAGAAATTGCAATCCATAGCCGAGCATTTAGCACATGCTCACAAATTCCTAATTGCAGGTGTCTCGCACGCACAAATTCTACAGTCCTTGCCGAGTGCAAGTGTTCCACTTTGTGGGGGATGTTGTCCGTGGTCGTATGGGTGTAGCCCCGTTCGATCAGGACTTGTGCTGGGAAAGGATAAGCATCCACCACCCTCAGCCCAACTGAAGCTCCACAAGCCTCCAATTCCCACTCCGTGTAAGGCCACGTCTGCTTCAGCGTGACGGCAATGCGGCCGTCGCCTCGGAGACTTGTTGTGGCACTTCCGAGGAAACCTTTCAGGAGGGCCTGATTTGCCTCGACATTGGGCTCGCCAGTGTGTGGAAAATTGAAGACCACCACATCGAAGGCTCCTGTGAGGGATGCTTCCGCCAGCCGTGTAGCATCAATATCCGTGAGACATCGCAGGCCATCCTTGGCCAGTTGCACTAGATGTTTCGCATCCCGCGGAGGCTCCTTCGAAGATGCACAGCAGTGTGCAGTGCCAAGGAACCCCAGCGTCAGGGCCGTGGCAGCGAAACTGAAGTCGCCCTCGCCAACGAGCAGAACCCGATCGGCAGCAACGAAAGGCAAGCGAGCTTCCCCTTGCACGCGCTCCGGCAGAGCAGCTTTACGGCTCATCTTCACTGTACCTTCTATGTACCTTGGGCTGTTTAAAGTAGAGTCTTAAGTGGAGATTTCAGGAAGGAAGTACCAGCAGAAACCGGGCCGCTTACTTAAGCGCTACGGTTCATTGCAGGAAAGCTTTTCTCAACAATGGCAGGCGCATTGGCAACTCCGTCTTGCGCCGTATGTCCCAGTGCGGGTGGTTGCAAGCCAAGGCATCAGCTGCACAGCACGCATCAGCAAAAATCACGAAGGCGAAGCCACGGCAACGATTGTCTAGGTCGGTCTTGACCTGCATGATTTTGCATCTGGGTTGTTCTCTAAATTACGGTTCCGTTTCAGGTCCACAATATAGTACCTCACCCTTATAAAAAGGCCGCAAAACGGGACCCTGATTTAGAGAACTACCCATCTAGTAATTACTCCTGGCAAAGGGGTCTAGGGTTCAGGGTGCAGGGCCAACGAGATACGAATGCTAGCACAAGTACCTTCTGTGCATGTGCGTCCTTCATGGAACACACCTGTATGTAAGAACACACGCCTGGATGCGCGAGACATACCCAAAGGACTTGAAGTAGGCCAAGATCTCGCTCTCCAACAACAAGGGGTCCTCCGACTTCGGAAGGTTCCGGACCACAAGGACATTTGCATCACGCTCTTGCTGCACATGCTGGAACATGCACTGGGAGCCATTTCTGCAGTGGCCCTTTTGGAACCACACGCAGATGCGTTTCTCTGAGGCAGCATCTCTGGCAACTGTTGGCGCAGCAGGATGCTTGAATGGGCACCCGACACGGCAGCAAGCGGCTCCCAAGCGACAGTCAGGCGGCAGAACTTCAGACGGGTCATGCTCCGCAGGGTGCGAGAATCGACAGTCTGGTCTGTGGCATCTGGCACCAAATCTGCAAGGTATCGAGTCGATCCCTTCTGGCGAATGGCCCAAAGGATGTTCGAACCAACAGTCTAGACGAGCGCATGCAGATCCAAATCGGCACTGCACTTTGCAGGCCTGTGACATGCTGGATGCTCTAAAGACAACGCATTTTCACTCTAGCGGTAGCTAATCTAAGGATCCAGCGGATTCAGGGTGCAGTTTTGAAGACGCTTATTGAGCCTATAGCTAGGTCCAGATTCTCTGCCTTGTGCGTTGAGGGCTCAATATAAGAGCGACGCCCTTTATGTTGGCAAATGCTCCGAATTTGGGGAAATCACCAGAAGGCTTGTTCCATCATGAACCCCAGAGAGCCCAACACCCCTTAATTAAGGAATAAATATATATATCTTCAATCATCATAGTAAGGTCCCTATAATTTAAGGCTTTTATTCGTTAATTAAGGGGTGTTGGGCACTCTGGGACCTTAATGACAGTACGGTTGATGATATACATCCTGCACTACCCATAATGAGGAATATACCGATATACCAGAATTCCCATAGTTTAGGATCCTAAAGGTAATGCAGGATATGTATCATCAACAGTATGTAGGCACACTGGAACCACTGAACCAGTCGCTCATTGGAAACCCTCAGCCTCAAACCTTTACCTGATTTAAGGTAACCCTAAACCCCCTAAATCCCTACAGGAAACCCCAAATCCCTAAAACCCAAAATCCCGAAACCCTAAATCCCTGAACCCTAAATCGCTCTGAACCCTAATGCTCTGAGCCAAAAAGAGCTGACTCTGCAAGGACTGAGCTGGACAAAGCAGCCGAGATAAGGCGGGGCTTGGGGTTCGTCGGACGAAACTAAGTACTCCAGGCCAAGGATCAGGGCTTTAGGGTTTAGGGTGTAGGGTTTCGGGTGTAGGGTTTAGGGTGTAGGTGTTAGTGGGGTTTAGGGTGTAGTTTATATTTTTTTGGTAGGGTTTAGGGTTTAAGGTCACCAGAAAGCATCCGACCCTCTGAAACACGCTGCCTGAACTTGATTGATGCTAGTGCTCGAGCCATGAAACAGGGGTCTGGCAAAGTGCTGTGGCCAAATGTAGACAGGAATTATACAAGTGTCATACTGCTAACTGGCATTCCTTGGCTGTAAACCCAAGCCCTCAAGATCATTCCGTAACCTACCGTGTTTTAACGTCCACTTGAATTCCATATTGGGGATTGCATTAGGACTTTACAATACCATTCGAAATGATTTTCGATAGTCAAGGCCTCACTACGACGATTTAAGTACTTGGACCTCTAAAAATCAGCCTGAAGCCACCAGGTGCCTCCTGCAAAGCTCCGGTGCCGTTGAAGATGTGATTGGGCGGCGCATCTGCCCGAGATTTTGGGCAGGGGTTGGGGGGTGGTCGCATTCCGCAACACACAATTCGGGTTTATAGGCAGGCTTTGGGGCTTTGGTTTACGGCTTTGGGCTTTTGTAGTTTTTGGGTTTTGGGCTTTGGGGGTGGTCGGGGTGAAGGTGCTGAGGGAGCTTGGAAAATATTGCACGTCTTTCCGACTCTGGACGTAGTTGACATTTGAGCTCCCGAGCTTGTAGTCCAACGATTTGACAAGCTCATCTTGAACCGCTTGGGTCACGTTCTCCACATCCTTTACATTAGGCAGCTTCAGGTTCGCTCGGGTTTATGGTGTATAGGTCGTTGAGCTTGTTGGGCTTCTGGGGTGTGGGGTTTAGGCCGGTGTTGCTTCCAAAACACAATGCCAGTTACGATAGTGGTGCTTGGGGCACGCCCCATGCTTTAGTTAGACCTGCAAACCGGAATACAAAGGCCCCAAAACCCAAAACGGCGCGCCTTCGACTTGTACAGCTTTTGGGCTGTCCTTGCCAGGGGCAAATCAAATGGCAAGCCTTCTTCATTTGGGTGTAAGCCAAGTTGAAGAACAAGTAGATGTTCGGAAGCTCCTACATCCGTCAGCCCAAAGCCATGGTCCTTTCCACCTGATCGTAAGCACACTCCCACAACCCACAGCCGCGAATATGCACTCCGATCCACCATTCCTCTCAATGCTGCCTCAACGACTTAACCCTAGGCCCTAAACCTTAAATCGCTTAAACCCTAAACCTTACACAATAGACCACCTAAGTCCGACTCTGGGCCGATGCCTGGAGGAGACCCAAACCGGAATGGGCTTTAAACTGACCCAACCTTTTGGGTCCTCTTAGACGCCGTTTCTGAGACTACCTTTCGTACCTGCTTGAAGGTCTAGTGGGTTGTGGTTTAGGCATGGAAATGCCACCTTTTTTGAAGCACACTGGGAAAGACATTGAGACACCCTGTTTAGCACCCTGCGGCATTGCGGCTTCAACGAATGAGGAATTTGTGGCGGAGCTCCTCCAAGGATAAAAGATCTTCGTCGTCGTCCTCGAAAGAATACCTTTTTTTCAGAGGGTTGGCGGCCCAGGGTGTAACTGTAATGAAAACCAACCCTAAACCCTAAACCCTAAGTCCAGGAGTAGACTTTGCACCGAACCTGTCCTCTTACTAGCATCCGGGGCATATGCATATGGGTAGTTCTTTAAATTAGGGTCCCTATTTAGGGTTTAGGGTTTAGGTCCCCCAGGTAGTACGGCACCCTTATAAGATTGACCCCCTTAAAAGGGGCCCTAAGTTAGAGAACTACCCATATGCCGAGGGCGCTGGCAGGATGAACAGAAAAAAGCTCTTGTCTTCATTGGGTTTAGGGTTTAGGGCTTTAGGTCCCCAACATAGTACGGCGCCCTTATCATACAAGGACACTGAAATGGACCCGAATTTAGAGAACTACCCTATGGGCGACACTACCCCAAACCCTAAACCCGTAAACCCCAAACCCCCAAAGCCCTAAAACCCCAAACCCTAAACCTGAAAGACAGGGCAATTGGGGGCCGTTCCCACCCGTAAGGTTGAGGCTATAGGGCTTTAGTGAAGTGTTGCATAGGCACAGATGTGACACTTCGTAAGATGGGCCTTAATAGTTAGAATAGGGTTTTGGCTTTGGTATAGTATCGTCATAACAAGGAACCCCAAAAAGAACATATGCTTTAAGCCTAAACCTTAAACCCAAAACCCTAAACCCTGAACCTTAAACCTTAAACCCTAAACCGTTTCCAGATCGTGCTGGGGCACTGCGTGTGATTTGAGTTCCGCGACGTGCCCCGGAGTAGCTCCGGAGGTACCGAGAGCGCTGCGTCCATGGGCTCGGGGGATGTGAACTCCGAGGGGTTGGGGTTGACGGCTGAGGGTTTGAGGCTTCAGCTCCAAGAACTCCGAACAATTCGGAACTAGTGTTGTATCAGTAGTACGGTTGATGATATAAACCCATAATAGGGGATATACCATATCTCCCATAGTCTAGGGTCCTTATTAAGGTAATGCAGAGTGGTGACAGCAAGTTTTGCAGTGAACAAATAGTAGAGGGTTGACGGAAGGTCTAAAATGCCACCCCACAACCTGGGCCGAGGTTTGGGTCTGCAGGTCGGACAAAGTACGGGCAATGGGCTTGCAACTAAAGTTGTCCACATAAGCACCAAACCGTGAGCTTTTTCTGCTTCGGGGTCTGTGATTTCGGGCTTTCGGGGTTGAAGCTGTAGTAGTGATGTCGGGTTTTGGGTTCAGGTTCAGTTTTGAGTATATGGGGGGTCGAGGCTTTAGAGACCTACTCCTACACTGTACAGATGCGATTGGCTTTGGCACGATGCAGCAGATGGCCGGCACGTAGGGTTTTCTCGAAGAGAGGTGCCCTAAGCCGAATAAACCCCATAAGACCTAAACGCCCATTGTAGACCACAAACCCCTGAACGGAGTGGCCGTGGGTCTCGGGCACGGGAATCATGGCTTCCAAGCAGCCATAACAAAGGCTGGCACGGGGCTAGCAAACCATCAGGCATCTCAAGTGGGATACAAGAAGGGCTATAAATAAGAAAACTTCAACTATGACGGTACTGTTAACCCTAGTTATAACGTACTTGCTGAGTCCTCTGATCCTAGAAGACAAAACGCCATTGTAATCAAAACCCTATAAAGGCGTATAAGCCCTTGTAGCCTACTCACAAAGTGCCCTTATCCTCCATGCAGTCCATGCAGGGGGGAGGGGGCGGGCCCGCGGAGAGCTGGGTGATGCATCAAGCATGGATAAACCCTAAACCCTACACCCTAAACCCCTAAACCCTAAAACCCTGAACCCCCTAACCCTAAAACCCTAAACCCTAAACCCGAAACCCTAAAGGGGCTGCGGTTGGCCCCCCTTAAGGCTTCGGGCCGGTGGAGGCCACCGTCTTGTAACAGGGCCGGGGCCACCCCGGTCGACTACACACACACACACACGTCGATCTATCTATCTATCTACTTGCCTGCCTACCTGTCTATCTGTCTATCTATATATCTAACATCCATAACTGTCTAATACCTATCTATCGCTCTATCATCTACCTACTTATCTATCGATCTATCGAGCTATCGATCTATCTAACTCTCTAACTATACACCCTGTGTATAATGTACTGAACCCCCAAAATCCTAAAACCCTAAGCCGGTTCCCACTTGAACTCTAAGCGCAAATCCATCTCAAGACGTTCCTGGGCCTTTAAACCCTAAATCCTAAACCCGGAAGTTTCTGTTAGCGGCCTCTTTGCGGTGATTCGTCGGAGGGGGGTCGGGGTCCCAAAAAGCTACGAATCATGATCAATACGAGTCACTGCCGAAAACCGTTCTGACGAGCAGGGTTGTAGTTTAGTCAACCCAAAAAGGATCCCAAGTACGTACGTACACAGGAGACGCTCAGACTTCCCTATGCGGGCGTTGTTTGGCCCTTTGGCCTTGCGGCCGTCAGCGTGATGCTCATGGATATGTACGCCGAACACCGAAAAAGCTTCAACCCTAGACCCTAAACCCCTAAACCCTAAACCCCTAAACCCTAAACCCTAAACCCCAAAAGCTTCAACCTGCGACCCGAAATCGCTACATCCACAAGCCCAAACCGAGACCTGAGTGCCCAAAGGGTCCTTCAGTTGATGATGTAAATCCTGCATTACCCATTGAATATACCCAGAATTCCCATAGTTCAGGGTCCTTAAGGTAATGAATGCAGGATT